GAGTGTAAAGTGTAGAGTGTGTGGTGGAGTGTAAAGTGTAGAGTGCGGGGTGTAAAATAATGAAGGCGAAGGGTAAAGTGTGGAGTGTGCAGTGGGTAATGCGTCGAGTGTGGAGTGTAAAATCTGGAGTGTAGAGTGTAAAGTGTAGTATGTAAAGTGCAGGATATACACAGTGTGGAGTGTAGAGTGCAGAGTATAAAGCATAAAATTATACAATAAAGAATGTGGTGTTTAGAATATAGACTAGTAGAGATTGAAGTGTAGATTGTGCAGTATCAAATGTAGAGGATAAAATATAAATTGTAAATTGTGGAATGTGCAGTGGGGAATGTGTAGTGTGGAGTATAAAGTGAAGAGCGAGAAATATAAAGTATAGAATGAAGTATATAGATTGCAATATATTATTGTCGATTGCGCTCCATGCAACGCATTGTAGTATCACATGTTGAGAGAGAACAGTTTCATTTGGTCATAGACCTTGGCAGATTTCATTTCCATTGCCCTTTTTCCATTCAAGAATGGGTGGGCATCTTGTAGCTACCCAACTGGCTACGTCTTCGAGGAAAAGGCCTTGCTTGCCTTTCGCGATTTGCTGGACAAGGACTTCGAGTGCCTTGAACTTTGGTTGGCTCCCTACCAATCAACATTGGTAGCGGAGCCAGGGCCATTGGGTTCTTCATTGACAACATCCCCTTTGACTTTAACTCCATCTTCATTTACACCTCAACTTCCTGCTCTAGCTTTCCGGCTTGATCATTGCGACTGAAGGTCCGACGATCACTGACATCAAAGATGCCACCACAAGCCGCACCGAAAGCTGCTGCGTCCCAAGCTCAAGCCTCTCAGCCTGCATCCTATGATGGGACCAGTTTGAAGGACTCATACATCCCTGTTTTTGATGGTCAGCCTAGTTCGTATCAAGAATGGAGAAAACGAATAGGAATCTACCATCTCAAAATGAAGTTGCAGAAACGCACTGAAGAGAGCATCCTGAACATCATTGGATTGTTGCAGGGCACAGCATGGAAACTTGTAGAAGGTTTTGATTTGGACAATATCGACAAAGAAGGAACTTTGGATGATTTGATGAAACTGCTTGACAATGCTTTCAGGTATGACAGCAGGGTTCGACTTCCACAGGATTTTGATGCATACTTTTCTCACCTCTCCGGGAAACCAGGTGAGACGCTGCTGTCATACGTCACTGAGCATGACGAGAAGCTTCGAAAAGTTCAAGAACATGGAATTCAAATCCCTGACGAAGTCCAAGGATGGCTGTTGCTCAAAGTCCAATGTCACGAAGGAACAGAAACAGATGATCATCACCCAGGCACCGAAAATGGAAAAACTCAGGATTCAAGAAGCTGTGTACTTGATTCTTGGTCAAGATCATCGTTCTGCAGTTTCCCATGACCATCGATGACCTGGCTCTGGCAGACTTTTCCGCCGTGGAGCCTACACTGCTGCAGACCGATACGATAATGATGATGATGATGATGATGATGATGATGACCACTATGACGTTGACGATGAGGCCTACGTTGAGTATGAGTACGACCCTGAGTATATGGCCGCCGATGACAGCTGGGTGGATGATTCTCAGGTTGATGCTGATGCAGCGTACTATGAGAATGCTGAGTACGACGCCACTGAAGATGCAGAGTATGATGTTGAAGCATACGACGAAGCGTACGCGGCGTATCTTGACGCCAGACGCAGATTCCAGGACCTGAAGCTGTCTCGTGGATTTTACCCAGTGGTAGCTCTTGCAGATCAAGGTGCCATGCCGACGTCTTCAAGTTCACAGACACCAAGTGGAACCGGACGTGGCAAAGGCTACGGCGGTGGTGGCAAAGCCAGAGGCCGTGGCCAAGGGCAAGAATATTGTCCGATATCCTCCTCGAGGTGACCGCAAGCCTCCAGACCCCAAAGGACGTGCTGCTGCCATCACTCACTGCCTGCGTTGTGGAGCAGCTACGGGTCATCAAGCAGCTCAGTGTCCACGCACTCCCAAGCATTCAGCACCACCTTCTTCGACGTCTCCAAGCCCAAAGAAGCAACACACTGAAGGTATGGCGATCTTACAGCCCCTTGGTGAACATGGACATGTCATCTTTGAAGATGTGGATGGCAAGCCTCGTGTTGACTGCACGATGTTGGATCCTGGTGCATCTGCATTTCTCATGGGCTCTGGTCCTTTTCATCGATATGCTGAACACCTCAAGAGCCTGGGCTATCCCATCGAGACCATTGAGATGCAGCGCACCCCCAGGACTTTTCATTTTGGCGGTGATCACTCAACCACTAGCCATTGGATTGCCAAGATCCCCATCTTTGTGAACAGTGTGATGGGTTTTGCACATGTCTTCATCATCAAGGGCGAGACTCCGATGCTGATGGGAAGACCCATCATTGAAGAACTTGGGCACTGATTGTCAACTTCAAACGAAGAACTATGATGTTTGAGGGTCATCCCTGGCGCCCTATCACCGTGGGCAAGATGGGCAAATGCCTGCTCTCCCTGACAGAGGACTTTCACACCGAGCTCATCGGCCAGGTGCCCTCGTTTGATCTGAACCTGGTTGAAAAGCAGACTTCAAACGAAAAGCCTGAGGTCTTGGACTTTGCGACCTACCAGAAGTCTGAAGGTGTCTATCTTGGAATGGACTCTCATGAAACCCCAGTTCAACCAGGTGATTGCAATTTGCTTTCAAAACACTGGAAGAGCTTTGATGTTGCACTTTCCACTGCGGAGAACATGCTCAAGAACCACGTCACAAAGGAGCTCAAGTGTTTTGGTCCCAGATCTGGGAAGTGTATGCTGGGGAATCCCGCATGTCGCAAATTGCAGAAACTTTGGGATGCCAAGTTGAAGTTTTTGGATATGAATCTGGCTGGGATTTTGATGACCCCAGCCATCGCAGAACTTTCCTGAAGAAGCTCGGTGAGGAAATGCCCGATGAAGTTTACTTGGCTCCCCGATGTGGACTGTGGTCACCAATGCAGTCCATCAATGCCTTGACTCCTGAAAAATGTGAAGAGCTTTCCATCCAGCGTCAACACCACCATGATGTACATCTGCAGTTTTGCAAGGTCATCTACATCCGACAGGTTCGAGATGGCCGACATGCACATCTAGAACAACCTCAAGCTGCGTTGAGATGGAAAACAAAAGCTCTCAGTCGACTTTAAGGTGACAGGGTCACTTTTGACCAATGCAGATATGGTGCATGCTGCCTTGACAAAGATGGCACTTGGCGATTGGTGAAGAAGTCTACGAGTTTGCAGACTTCAAAGCGAGCAGTTGCACAGGCTATGACCGTGGCCATCAACATTGCCAACTTGAAGGTCAAATGCCTGGCTTTGGAAGAGCAGGAGCCAGCTACTTGAAAGATTACCAGCCCACTTTGGCTTCTGTGCTGGCTTCATGCCTTGCTGCTCCTGAAGTTCCAACTGCATGGGACACTGCCTTCGCCGTCAATGAGGAGAAAGCCATCCATGGGCAGATCGTCCAGCTCATGACTGATCACAAAGCCGAAGCTGTGCGTGCAGGTCAGCGCCTCGACCATCGCACCTGTTGAGATGCTGGAATCCAGAGGAGCTTCCGAGGCCGTCTTGAATGTGGCCAGAAGCTACCAGTGTCATGCCTGTTTGAAGTATCGAAAACCCAATCAAATCGCCCCAGCATCTACCAAAGTTGTTTGCAAGTTCAACCAGAGCATTCAAGCTGACACCATGTGGATCAAGAATGGCAATAGCAAACACCCCATTCTCTCAGTTGTGGATAAGGGAACGCGCTTCATGATGGCGCACTTGCTGGTTGGCGCACGTTCTCAAGACTTCATCCAGGCGCATGAAAGGCATTGGATCTCACACTTTGGAGTTCCTGCACGACTTGTCACTGATGAAGGTCGAGGTTGGCTACATGATGATTTCCAAGAATGGACAGACTCACAGTCCATCCAACATGTTGTTGCAGCTGGTGAAGCTCATGAACAACTTGCCTTGGTGGAGCGCCGGCATGCAGTTCTCAGTAAAGCACTGGAAGTCTATCTCATGGACTTTGGACTTGAAGATGCCAATGCCATTCGACAGGCTCTCTCCTACGTCCTACGTGGTGCCCCAGTTGAACAACAACCCTTCGACTTCTCCTTCTCAGTGGGTTTTGGGTCAATCACCAACCTTCCCCGGAGAACTCCTTGGCACCAATCTGACTCCAGTGCACTTGGACACACCTTTTGAGGACGAACTGTCCCGCAGAGCTGTGGCGAAGATGGCCATTGTCCAGGCCGATGCTGATCAGAAACTTCGAAGGGCACTCCTTCGAAAATACGCTGGCACCAACATTGCATTGTCTCCTGGCCAGACTTGCTTTTACTGGAGAGACGCCCGAGCTGCTGACCTTGTGAAAATCAGGTGGAAGGGACCAGCAACGGTCCTGATGCGTGAGGATGACGATGATGGCCATCCTCGAGTTTATTGGATTGGTCACAAGACACAACTACTTCGATGCGCTCCTCACCATGTGCGACCTGAAATCGGCCGCAGCACCTCCACCTTGATCGGCGATCTCCAAGTGGCCAAGGACATGCTGCAAGCTTTGAAATCCAGAGGAGTCACCAGATACTCCGACCTGACTATCTATCAAGAACAAACGCAACATCGATGATGTGGACTCTGGCGACGAGATGATGGATGATGGAGACAGTGATGATGATCATCCACCATCCCCAAGGAGAAGATTGGTCGATCCTGCCGTCTACGAACGTGAAGCCCTTGGCATTTCCGAGTTTGAACAAATCGAGCGGGAAATGGACTTCACTCCTGCTCCTCCTTCAGTGCCATACTCTCCATCTGTGGCATCCTCCATTGCCAATGATGCTGAACAATCACATCCCATTGGGCTTCGGGACCAGCATCAAATTCCTCCTGGACTTGAGGAACAAGCTGCCGATGGCGACCCGCCTGGACTTGCGATCGACCCCCAAGCTCCTGGACTTGGACTTTTGGAGCCTGAGCAGCTTGGAGATGGAGACATTCCACAATCTGACATGCAGGGCGATGAAACTGACCTCCACGTTCCTTTCTCTATGGAACCTTCTCGAGAGCCGAGTCCCAAGACACCCCAACCACCACGATTGCCACAAGCTGCTCAACTTGACCCTGTCACTGCGGCATACTATGACCCTGCGACAGCTGAAGAATTTCGAGAACATCGCAGACGACTGGAACGACAAGAGACGATGATTTTGGACCCATCAGAGGACGAATGTTTCAGACCTCCACTACCACTTCATCAGGCCTCCTGACACTCATGGCGCTGGGCCTTACTCTGAACCCCCCAAAGAAGAAGACCATGGACTTTCGGTCTCAGCTTGGCAATCTTGGCCATGGATTTTCGGCCTTTGACACCGATGATTTGGAGCACACTGCTCTTCCCCCTTGATGGCATGTGGAAGATGGCTACATCGTTCTCAACGACACCTCCAAAGACTACTGGGAAGTGAAAGCCGGATGTCTCATCAGGCATCATGTCGTTCCTCGCAGGCATCATGTCGTTCCTTTGAAAGGGTTTGAGCCAGGTAGGTGACAGAAAATTTACTGTCACCTAGGGGGAGTGCGAAAGCCACTGAACCCTTAGAAGTTTTCATGCACAAATCGAGAAGTGTAACATGCACACCGACCTGTTGCCAGGTTGAACATTACCGCTGCGACCTGCAGCCAGACTGGAGCTGCTGGCACGGAGCCGGCGGGTTGTTGGGGAAGTTGGATTGGGGTTTTGAAGTTGGTTGTTTTGTGGTTTTGGTTCAACACCCTCCTTTTGACCTTAATTTTTTTGGGTTGTATTGTTGGATACCTGGTTGGAGGTTTCAAAATTTTGGGGGGCGGGGGTGCTACTAGACCACCCCAGGAAACCAATTAACCTAACAACTTCCCCTGGAATAGGCTCAAAATACAAAATTAACCCCAACTGACCCAAACTGTCTCGAAGAATCAAACCATGAGAACCTATATAATCATTTTGGGGGTGGTGGCACTACTGAACCACTTGTTATTTAGACCATCGGCTTTTGGGCAACGAAATCTGAACCGACTCCTTTCTCCCCAATAAACTATTTTGCGGGTGGGGGGGGGCCCCACGTTCCAAATGAGAAATTGTTTTAGGGTCCCTTCAGTCAATTATCTACAGTTATTAAGGCACTTCAACTTCTGTATGGGAAAATTAGTTTGCCTCATCAGTAGGTTATGGGTCCATAAATTATTTTGCGATGATTCTTGCTAGCTGATGTTGTCATTAACATTTTGGGAAAAATGCAATTTATTTTGAAAAATAATCCAGAACCAGGTTCCACCCCAAAATAAGTATTTTAAGGTAGGACGCATGAAAAAGCACTGTGCCGTGGCAGCAGCGAGCTTTTGCTTGGGCTGGAAAAGCCTTCGGATTTCAGTTGTCAATTGAGTTGGAAGTAAGGGTATGGAGATCAGGTGCATGTCTCACAGATTGACTTTAAATCTGCTTGGTTACAGATGGGCGCTATAGCCACAGTTCTTATGTCTTGTTCCGGCTGCCGGTCAGAATTTCGAGCTTGCTTTATATAAGGGCTGCCGTGGCCTAAACTTAAAACTTGTTACGAGGGTAAATGTCCTAGGGTGCAGTGGTTAGATTGCAGCATTTTGGCGACTAAGACAATGGCGCGTGGGGCTAATTATAGTTCTTTGGTTTAAAACTGTGATTCTTGGAGTTTGGTAAACAGCATTTTTTCGTGATCGAATCGGCCCTTTCTTTTGTTAGACAAACGTAAAGCCGCAGGGGCTGCAACGCTGCATCGTTGGGTAAGTTTGTAAACAAAATGGCCGACGCCTAAATTCACACAAACCACTCTGTCAGCAAGTTGCTTGCAATCGGGAAAAGTTCATCGGCCACAAGTTCAGCCATAATATCGTTTTTTTTTTCCGTGAGTCTCGACGTTTTCGCAAGAGCTGGCGACGCACACGGCCTCCCAGGTTCTGCGGGCCCCGGGCGACCTCAGAGCGTGCGCAGCGCAGATCCAAGAGTCACGCCCGCAGAAAATGTTCCTACAGTAAGATTCAGGTTGTGTTGCGGCATTCGCATTTGGCGCATATCACCTGCTCCTGCCAATCTATTTAAGCAAATCGAGCCTCCAAAAGTCATTGCTTCTGTTTCTCGCTGCTGGGCATTCCCTTGATCCTGAGGAGGCAGATGGCTGCGAACCGCGTCTCAAGAATGTCATATTTTGCATCACTCTTTGAACCCCTGATGGAATCTTTTGGTTGCGTTTCTTTCGCGCCTTCTACTTTGGAAGGTCTAAAATGCTTGTTTTTTTACAATGGCCGAGTGGCACGTGTTCAAAGGTTTTGTCCACGTGCTTGAGGACCTTGCCCTTGAATTTTGACCAGCCTTGACCGCAAACGAGCTTGTTGGAACACAAAAATGCAATTCTTTTGATCCCTTTCCGTGTCCGCGACGGCCGCACCCGAGAAACCATTCTTGGGTTCCCCCTAAATAGGGCCTCATTTAAAAGCGGACGAGGCTATATATTGAAATGCTCTTCTTGTCATCCCTTGCGAAGAGCATGATCTTGTCACAGCCACCGAAGCGGCCCGCCTGCATGACGCCTTTCTCAAGAATGCTGGTGGCATATCAAACGTGAACCCCATGATATCCAAGGAATCTATATAAAGGCTGCAAAGTGATCCTCGTAGCCGTCTGGTTCAAGCAGGCCCGAGGAAAACAGCAACTGTTCAGGTGAACGGATTGAATTCCCACAGGACCCGCATGTGCAACCCCATTTAAACAAACCCATGGAGTTACGCCAGCAACTGCCCGATAGACGACGTGAGCAAGATCTGGTAGACAACACAGGATCTGCTGAATTGACCTGAAACGTCAGGCCTGGCTGGAAACCCAAAGGCCGCAATCCAATAAGCAACCAAGCAACCATTGACGAATGCCTCGTCCGCCCTGCCATCCTCTTTGGGCATGCTTGCAAGCAGGAAATCCTGGAGACCAGCTCCCCATCTGTAGCAAGTCAGGTGGAAGCAATGTTAATCAACAAGAGTTGCAGCAAGAAACCGTCAGCTCGATAATGAAAACAAACGTTGCTTTGCAAAACGGATTGCGCCAGAAACATGGACAGGCGTTCCAGGAGATTCCCGAATTCGTTTATAAATTTCCTGCTGCTGTTACAAAACTGTGTTGAATATCAAGATCAACCAGAACAAGGAAAGAAACGAAGCAAGGGCCGGGATCAAAACCCTCACCCCGACCTCACAACTTGAACTCACGTCCATCTCTTTGCGGCAAACTCAAAAACCAACTGAAATCGCTTGCATGGCAAAAACCACAGAAACCAACAAACAAACCCGAATGCAGTTACGTAAAACCCCTTTGTGAAACAAATTCTTTCAACAGTCTTGTACATTTTTCCCCTGTTCCCGAACCAGTGTAGACTGTGGAGCGTGACAGGCCGTGGGGTGCAGTGTGGAGTGTGAAGACAGTGAAGACAGTGAAGACAGTAAAGACAGTGGGCTGTTGAGTGCGGAATGTAAGGTGAAGGGTATGAAGTGGGGATTGTGGACTGTGGGGTGTCGAGTGTAAAGCAAAAAGTGTGGAGTGTAAAGCGTAGGGTGTGGAGAGTGAGTGTGAAGGGTAAAGTGCGCAGTGCAGTGTGTAGAGGGTGGAATGTAAAGCGTAAAGCGTAGAGTGTGGAGTGTAAAGTATTGTAAAGTGCAAAGTGTAGTGTAAAGTGTAGCGCGTGGAGTGTCAAGAGCAGAGTGTGGAGTGTAAAGTGTAGAGTGTGGAGTGTAAAGTGTTGTGTGTGGCGTGTGGAGTGTCAAGTGTTCAGTATGGGGTGTAAAGTGCGAAGTGTAGAGTGTGGAGTGTAAAGTGTGGAGTGAAAAATGATACCATCAAGTACTACCCAGGCACCCTGAAGACTAGATATTAGACCCCCAGGACTGGGTCTAAGATGGTATTCTTGTGGAAAACCACCAATTGCCAGGAGAAAACCTTCAGACTCCCACGTGCACGGGTCTAAAATCATATCTCAAACCCTATGTTTTTTTGTCATAATTAATGGTAACCGGTGGTGACATGTGAGATCACTATAGATCACTTAGCCCTATGCTACCTTCACAAAATACACGCCGAAACCATCCAAAGCCTTTTTCCACCCATAAGGTTCTACAATGGTCATTGCAGAATGGTTTTCACCTAATCAAATCTATTTTTCTTTGAAATATAATGTTGATCGAGGTGATGTGATAGCGTGCTATGTGATGCAAATCTGGTTAATTACAGGGCTTTTTGGAATTTATAGTATTTATGAGGTTCTTAAATGGTTTACCCCATATTGGACCAATGATTTTTTCAGGCATGTCATGAAGGACATGATTTTAGACCTTGTGTGGTGTTCAACCCACTGCTTCTGGGGATTGTTGGGTATTTTGGGTGGGTGATAATCAACAATACCTTTTTCCACCCATAAGGTTCTACAATGGTTTTTCACCTAGTCAATGTTATTCTTCCTTTGAAATATAATGTTGATCGATCTGATGTGATAGCGTGCTATGTGATGCAAATCTGGTTGATTACAGGGCTTTTTGGAATTTATAGTATTTATGAGGTTCTTAAATGGTTTACCCCATATTGGACCAATGATTTTTTCAGGCATATCATGAAGGACATGATTTTAGACCTTGTGTGGTGTTCAACCCACTGCTTCTGGGGATTGTTGGGTATTTTGGGTGGGTGATAATCAGCAATACCTTTTTCCACCCATAAGGTTCTACAATGGGTTTTTCACCTAATCAATGTTATTTTTCCTTTGAAATATAATGTTGATCGAGGTGGTGTGATAGCGTGCTATGTGATGCAAATCTGGTTGATTCAAGGATATTACAGGGCTATTTGGAATTTATAGTATTTATGAGGTTCTTAAATGGTTTACCCCATATTGGACCAATGATATTTTCAGGCATGTCATGAAGGACATGATTTTAGACCTTGTGTGGTGTTCAACCCACTGCTTCTGGGGATTGTTGGGTATTTTGGGTGGGTGATAATCAACAATACCTTTTTCCACCCATAAGGTTCTACAATGGTTTTTTACCTAATCAATGTTATTTTTCCTTTGAAATATAATGTTGATCGATCTGATGTGATAGCGTGCTATGTGATGCAAATCTGGTTGATTACAGGGTTTTTTGGAATTTATAGTATTTATGAGGTTCTTAAATGGTTTACCCCATATTGGACCAATGATTTTTTCAGGCATATCATGAAGGACATGATTTTAGACCTTGTGTGGTGTTCAACCCACTGCTTCTGGGGATTGTTGGGTATTTTGGGTGGGTGATAATCAACAATACCTTTATCCACCCATAAGGTTCTACAATGGTTTTTCACCTAGTCAATGTTATTCTTCCTTTGAAATATAATGTTGATCGATCTGATGTGATAGCGTGCTATGTGATGCAAATCTGGTTGATTACAGGGTTTTTTGGAATTTATAGAATTTATGAGGTTCTTAAATGGTTTACCCCATATTGGACCAATGATTTTTTCAGGCATATCATGAAGGACATGATTTTAGACCTTGTGTGGTGTTCAACCCACTGCTTCTGGGGATTGTTGGGTATTTTGGGTGGGTGATAATCAACAATACCTTTTTCCACCCATAAGGTTCTACAATGATTTTTCACCTAATCAATGTTATTTTTCCTTTGAAATATAATGTTGATCGATCTGATGTGATAGCGTGCTATGTGATGCATTCTCCAAAAAGCATTCTCCAAGAAAACGGTCTACAAAACAAGCCTTTCACCAAAAAACATTCTCCAAGAAAACGGACACCTCCCCGGACCTGAAACCAGCATAAACCAGCTGCATAGTGCAACAAGAAAGGGGGTCGTCGAAATAAGACCGCATCTGTGGATTTTTTAAATAGGAGTTATGGTCAAGGTGATGCCTGGACAAATTATCTGCACAAGGTAGGTTGGCACCAGGGTTTTTAATATGATCATCACCATCATCATCATCATTCCACATAACTAAGGGTCCCAAGGGTCTAAAATCATAGCCTCCAAAGGGTCTAATATCCGGGGGGGGGATGTTAGACCCCCCCTGGGGCACCCCAGGCACCACCCATTCTAGATACCTAGTACTTGAGGGTATGAAAAATGTATAGTGAAGAGTGTGGGGTGTCAAGTATAAAGTGCGAAGTGTAAAGTGTAGTGCGCGGAGTGTGGAGTGTAAAGTGAAAAGTGTGGAGCGGGAAGGGTGGGGTGTAAAGTGTAAAGTGTAGAGTGTGCAGTGCGGTGTGTGGAGTGTGCAGTGTAGAGTGTGGAGTGTGGAGTGTAAAGGGTAGAGTGTGGAGCGTGGAGTGAAAAGTGTAAAGTGTGGAGCGTGGAGCGTAGTGTGAGCGTGGCGTGCAAAGTGTAGAGTGTAGAGTAAAGTGCAAAGTGCGGAGGTACAGTGTAAAGTGTAGAGTTATTAATTCTTAAGAGTTATGCTCTATCGGGTGCCCGGGGACCCTAAAACTGGGTACGACTCTGGGCGTCGTTGCGGGGACGTACGGTGGGTACGTACCGTGGGTACGTACACGGGTACGGGTACGATTCGGGTACGGTGCGGGTACGGTACGGGTACGGTACGTGGGTATAGCACCGCATTTTCTGAAAACAGGTACGGTGGGTACACTGTACCAGTACGCCGTACCTACGGACCGTACCCACGTACCGTACCCGTACCGTACCCGTACCGCACCCGTACCCAAAAACACGTACCTACATACCGTACCCATACCCACAAGCACGTACCTACGTACTGTATCGTACCTACGTACCGTACCGTACCTAACCCCCCTCGGTATGTACACTGTACCCCCCCCCGTGATGCTCAGATAGAAAACCTGATTTCATAATTCTTAAAAATTAATAAGTGTAGAGGACCAAGTCTAAAGTGTGAAGTGTAACGTATACAGTGTGTAAAGTAGGGAGTGTAGAGTGTGGAGTGTAAAGTGTAGAGTGCGGAGTGTAAAGTGCAAAGTGTACAGCGTGGAGTGTAAAGTGTATAGTGCGGATGTAAAGCGTAGAGTGACGTGTGGAGTGTGGAGTGTCAAGTGTAAAGCGGAACGTGTATATAGAGTGTAAGTGTGGAGTGTAAAGTCTCAAGTGTAGAGTGTGCTGTGTCAAGTTTAAAGTGCATGGTGCGGAGTGTAAAAAGTGAAGTATAGAGTGCGGAGTGAAAGTGTAGAGTGTGGAGTGTAAAAGTGTAGAGTGTGACGTGTGAAGTAGAGTGCGGAGGGAGTGTAAAGTGTTGAGTGTGGAATGTCAAGTCGAAAGTGTAAAGTGCAGTGCAGAGTGTAAAGTGTAAAGACATGCACTATAGTGGGACATGAAAAATCACAACGGGTCGATATGACGATGGAGACGACGGCATGACGACAATGTGCCGACGGCCTGACGAAGATAGACCAACGGCATGACGACTGCTTGACGACGACATGGCATGACGACGATGCGACGACAGCGCGACGACCGTCGCAAGCCCGGGTTTGACGTGTCATAAGCCCGGGTTCGGTGCCGAACCCTGGCTTATGGCTGATGACATGTCATCCGCTGGGGTTGGACGCCGAACCCGGGCTTATGACGGTCGTCGCTCCGTCGTCGCACCGTCGTGGCCTCGTTGTCATGTCGTCGTCATGCCAACATCATGCCGTCGGTCTGTCGTCGTCGTGCCGTCGGCACATCGTCGTCAGGTCGTCGTCATGCCGTCGTCGTGCCGTCGTAGTGACATATAGTATATATAGCCACTCCGTCGTCATAGGGCCCGAACTATCGTCAAAAGCCTCCGGTCGTGGAGCTCCCCAGTGGAAAACTAAACCTGGTTTGCATGTTTTTGGAATTTACTAAGTGCAGAGTGTAACATGTAAAAGGGTAAAGTGTATAGTGTGGAGTATAAAGTGTAGTGTGTGAAGTGTAAAGTGTAGAGTGCGGAGTGTCAAGTGCGAAGTGTGAAGTGTAAAGCGTATATACGGTGTCCTAAATACTGTGCCTCCCACGCGAAGGAAGATTCCACACACGACGGACCTTCGCCACATGCCGCACCTGCCCCACAAAATGACACTCGCACGATGTCTCATGCCAGCCACGCAATCTGTGCTTTGTCACCGCTTCACGCGCCCTTTCAATGCGATGCGCCGAAGCACGCAACACGACTTGTCTAAAGATCTGCGCCTGTCACGTCCAAAGTGCTGCGCCTGCCACGAAACATGCAAAGTCATCTTCTGAAACCCTTGCAAATTGCGCCTGTCACGCAAAATGACTTTGGACGCTTTGTCAGACACGTGAGAATGCCACGAAACGCCAGCCGGTCACGCAAAGCGAGATTATGGACCTGTTTTGAAGCCTTCGAAAACGAGATGTTTTGTAGCTCCCCACACAGGCACGGCGACGCCGCAGAAACGAGACGAGACATGTTGGAGACTCACTGCATTCGCAAAAAACACGGAACACGACACGTCTGAAGTGCTGCGCCTGCCACGCAAAATGACGATGGAGGTATCCAAAGTGCTGCGCTTGCCAAGAAAACAGAAGGCGTCAAAAACGGCCAAAAAGTATTACATCTGTCACACAGAACAACTTTTGACACGTTATGAAACATGTTGGGATGTCATGAAGCGCCGCTCTTACCATGCGAAACGAGGTGATGCAACGTTTGAAACCTCCAAAGGTGGCCGCTTTTGCAGTGCCCCCCAGAGGCACGGCCATAGCGCAATTATTGCGGACGGTTGCCGGCGGTTTTGGTTGCAGAAGTGGCATCAAGTAAACACGTCTCCATCCCGATTCCCCTAAAGTAAAACCAGAACCCTTCGCTACGCATTCGGGCGCGCAGGCTCCCCCAACATTCCCACGGTCCAAGAGCTGCGTCAAGAAGAAGGTGTAGTGCCAGTTGTCGACCTTGTAGGCCAAATGCCGCAAAACCAAAGCCTCAGTTCCAACTAAGGGTTCAAGAGCAGCTTGCAACCGGGCCCACGTTCCCAGCATGGCTATCGCCAGGAATCTGGAAAACTAGACAGAATCTGGAAAATTTTGCGAATTAACCGAAATATATTTATATGAAAGAGAAACGAAAAATAGCTCATTTAATTTGTGGCCTTCTTTGGATTTGCTGGTGACAAGGCTGCACATGGCCCCCAACCTAATCCAAAGGCCTCAGCCATCTAAGCGCCTTGCTTCGAGATACACCTGGAAGGCCTGGCGGCAAGAGGAAGCACCCAACGCATCTTAGCACCAACTTAACAATGCCATGTTGCGGTGACCGCCCCAGACGATGCAATATTAGGCAGAATTCGGTACCGTACTCCAGCCGGAAGAATTTGATTCGTAACTACATCAAGCAGGACAGGCCCATGTGCACCCAAATTGTTCTGAGGGTGATACCGAGAACAGCACCATGTCCGTTGGTTGAATGCCCGCTTGGTACCTGTGATATACCAACTTGGTCGTCATACCCGGGGCCCACACCTCTTCGTTGGAAAGGTGCTCAACGATCGTGGTCAGCGCTGTCAAGACCTTCAATCTTAAAGCATGTCACGAAAATCGCCGCGCGCATGGGGTGGGCTTGCAGCGGACGCCCGTCAAGTCATATATCAGTAGGGGCTGAAGGGCAAAACTGCACAAGGCACTTTTACCTTCCAAATACGGGATGTCCTGCGTAAAAATGTCCCTTTAAAGGATGCCTTGAAATTTGTAGAAGTGCCGAAGCTGAACATAAAGTTTCATGTGTGGGATCCAGACGCCTGTAGCAAGATACAATGGCAGTGATCCATGACACCAACGCGGGGCACAAACGAGCCTTGCGGCCGTGCACTTCCAAAGCGTTGATGTCCGGCTGGCCTCGCTTCTTTTGAGCCCTGCTTCGTTTGTGGGCAAAAGAAAACACAAGTTCTACAGACCACGAACTGTTGATGCCCCGCGTTGCTGTGTGGGGCTCTTGTTCTTTTTTGCCTTGCGTCCAAGCACCCTTCTGACCAGATAGCCCCACAAGTTAAACCTTCCGATTGTTATGAGGAGAAGGCGATGATCCGGGGATGGCGGAAATGGATGGTGATCGGATGGAGAACGGCAGATAAAGATAGATGCAGATAAAGAAAAAGAAATAGAAGCAGTAAGAAAAACATGGAAGAAGAAAAAGGGAAAGAAAGATAGACAAATAAAGAAAGAAAGGAAGAATGAGAGGTAGGTAGGCAGGTAGATAGATAGACAGACAGACAGTAGGTAGGTAGGTAGGTAAGTAGGTAGGTAGGTAGGTAGGTAGGTAGGTGGACCACCGCCCACAAATGGCTGTGGCTTTTCTGTTGTTTTTTTGTCGTTTTGTATTGGTTTTTACAGCATTTTGTCTGTTTCTCGCTGTGCCTATGGTCCGTTTTTCTACCCCGTTTTCTCCTTTTTTTTTGTGGGGGGTTGGGGCGTAATAACGTTCTGTCGCGTGTTTTCTTTTTGACTCCGTTGTCTTGATGCTACGTTGTGAACGTTCTTAACTTCAGATGCTCTTGATGCTACGTTGTGAACTTTCTTGCTAGAACTGCAGACGCTCTTGGTGCTACGTTGTGAACTCTCTTGCTAGAACTTGAGACGCTCTTGATGCTACGTTGCGAACTTTCTTCCTAGAACTTCAGACGCTCTTGATGCTACGTTGTGAACTTTCTTCCTAGAACTTCAGACGCTCTTGATGCTACGTTGTGAACTTTCTTCCTAGAATTCAGACGCTCTTGATGCTACGTTGTGAACTTTCTTGCAAGAACTTGAGACGCTCTTGATGCTACGTTGCGAACTTTCTTCCTAGAACTTCAGACGCTCTTGATGCTACGTTGTGAGCTTTCTTCCTAGAATTCAGACGCTCTTGATGCTACGTTGTGAATTTTCTTCCTAGAACTTCAGACGCTCGAAAATATCCGTGAGCATTAGGAAAAACAAACACCGAATCAAAGACCCAACGCTCGACAAATTAATTTTCCAATTTCTCTTTAGACAAAGCGTCTGACCATTGAAACCTCAAGGATTTATGTCTCAACTCCGCAGACTGCTGAAGTCGAATTGAGCGCCACTCGGAAAAGTGAAGGTGCGCACGGACGGTCCCCATTGGCCGTGCATACCGCACATGGTGTAAGAAAAAGATGAATATGATGATGATGATGATGATGATGATGATGATGGTGTTGATGATGATGATGATGATGGTGATGGTGCACAAAAGATGAATGGAGTCCTTAGTTGCGGGCAAAAAAAATATAATATTTTGCTCGCAGTTACACGGGTTTCTATCATGACAATATTTTCCCCAATGGAACTACGCATTGAACATGTGAAATCAAAGACTGTCCCTTAAACACAGTGGAACTGCGTGATTCAAACAGCATTGAATCATTGAAAATGCTATTTTACACCACGGCCGCCTATGAGCGGTGGACCTAGTTAGGTAGGTAGGTAGGTAGGTAGGTAGATATAGGTAAAGAAAAAGATAAAGATTAAAGGACCGGACAACCCCACAAGTCAAATTCTTCTAATAATGAGCAACAAGTGTTGTAGCGGGGACGGGGAAGAAAGGAAATACAAAGGAAGTGGTGGATGATCGAGAATGAAAAAAGTTGTATGTGAAGAGTTGTGTGTGACAAAGTTGTATGAGAAAGATGGTGTGTTGCCAAGAAGGATGGTGCGTGTGACAGTTGTGTGTGAAAGAGAGGTTGTGACCAAGTTGTGTGTGCAAGATGGGCAAAGAAAGCGCAACCTACTGTCGTGAGACCAACAAGACCCAGCCCCACCCTTTTGCACGTAGCAAATGAAAGACATCACTGTAAGATGCAACTGGCTCTACAGCAATCTCCACACGCCAGTGTCACACGCGAATGTCACAAGCGTTGCCTAGTCCCCAATGTCACCAAAAATCTGAACATGACAATAGAAATTAAACGTCGCACGTTGCATCAACCCATGCCCCGTCTGGAGCTTGCGATTGGAGGTTCGGGTCCTGGCGCAGCCCACAGATCGCGAAATGTAGTTCAGGTCCAGGCGCCGGCTGGAGCTCGCGATATGAGGTTCGGGTCCAGGCGCAGCACACAGCGTCCGGAGCTCGCGCTATGAGGTTAGGCGACGAGCTGGCACGGAAGCAGGCGAGAAGAGCAGGCGAAGAGGAGAAGGAAGAGGAGAAGGAAGAGGAGAAGGAAGAGGAGAAGGAAGAGGAGAAGGAAGAGGAGAAGGAAGAGGAGAAGGAAGAGGAGAAGGAAGAGGAGAAGGAGGAAGAGTTGCACTGAGTTGCACCTTTGTTCAAATCTAGAGATCCCCGCCTGGCAGGCGGGAAAAAATAAATTCGAAACAAACAATACCTTAGCCTTGAATCACCTTTCAAAAAACCTAAGCCAACTTTAAACTGACCTGAAGCCAACCAAAAAAACTCTAAACCAACCATAAATAAACCCTAAACCAACCTTACGAAGCCCGAAACCAACCTTCAAGAAACCTTTTAGCCAAACCGAAGCGGGAAAACACACATTCCACCACAAAAGCCAGATCCCTATCAAAATTACCTCTGCTCCTATCATTCCTATCTGTGCCAAACTTTTGCGCGCCAGATCACTGCCATCGGACATACAAGTCGTCTGCACCACAACAACCGTTGGCAGATTTACCTCTATCAGGCTTACCTTTGTCAGGTTGATCTCCACCCAGGCATTCTCTATCAGACTTGCCTTTGTCTAACTCTTTTTCCATCCAACCTTTCTCTTTCAAACATGTCTGTACCCAGCTTCTCTATATTCAACTTGCACATCACCTCTCTTCTGTCATATACCCACCTTCATTGCTCATTCACCTTTTCTTTCAAACGTAAAGCAGCGGAAGTCTTCACATGTGGGGCAAAAAAAAGGGGGCGTTGCTTCTCAAATGTTGGTTAAGCCTGACAAACTCTGAAAATCGCCCTCTCTTGCAAGTTCTGCAACTCTGCTTTGCTTGCAAGGTGCCCGGTTGCCATTTGAACGGGAAGAGCTCCAGTGCGGCGGGGCTCTGCTCGAAGATTGCCAGGAAGAGGTCCTAAGCATCGGAGGAAAACCCCTTTCCATACTTACCAATCCTAAGTTGATATGCTCATCACTGCCGTCCTGGTCCCTACTCTTTGTCTTGCGCAACTTCTCCTCTCAGTAAAATCAATCTTGTCGCCTTTGTCCTTTCCTTCCTGAATCCGGTTTGGCTTTAATGTCAGCAGCGCAGCCTACCACGTCTCAAGCTGCAAGATAAATTTGCCCCCGGAAAGCCTAAAACTAGTCAACCTAACTCTTGGCATCAACGAAGCGGTCGTCAATGCACCAGAAACAATTTGGCGATAGAAAAAAAAATCCCGGGTCGCTTTGAAGAAATTGGCAGGAAAATGTGGTAACCGCATGTCCTGTAGCAAGCCTGTGACAGAGCAATGACACTACGTTGAAACATAACCGCCTATTCAGGCCAGAGCAGGAAACCTACAATGTCGGAAAAACTTGGAGGAGCGTCATCAAGACTTGGCTGCGAATGGCGGTGAAGAGCCCTGACGCCCCTCTTACCATGCAAATGAGCGGAAATCTGTTTGCCACCTCAACGTGTGCAATTTTATACCCTATAAAACAGGGACCGGCCAAAACATTTTCCGCATTTTCCCCTCTTGGTTGTCATCAGTCTTCACATTTTTCAAAATGTTTTCATGTCCAAATTTCATGTTGATGTTTTTGTCAAGTGTTTGAGCCTTTTTCATGTGTTCCTGTAGATGTGTCATTTACGCTCTATCCCTGGGAGAAACACCCACAAACTCAGCCTGGTTCTTTTTTACATGTTTGGAATTTGAAACCTGAACTGGCAAACCTCTCTTGGACAAAACCGGCAAAAACTGAGGCACATCCCCCAAAAACAAAACTAAAACATGGAAACACTGAAAAATAAGCTTCGGTGGTATCCCCAACGGCAGCAGCTATCAACTGTGAACATTGTTTGAAATTATTTAATTGCAGCTGTACGCAGACAAAAAAAAACGCGTGCCACAAGTTCACAAACATACCGAAATCCAAATCCACATGCCTTTTTGGAGGCGGGTCAATTGAAAATTCGGAGACATAGAATGCGCAAGTCATATGGGCCTGAGCAAGGAGATTGGGAACTCCGTATGGTCCAAGAGCGGCGGCATGTCGTCGTGACCAAGTAAATGCTTGTGACCAATCTCGGACAAGAGTGTAGAAAGAAGTAGAATGAAGTTCAAAGATTTCAGTTAGTCGGCGGAACAGGAAAAAGAGGAGCAGAAAGGGAGCTAATTTGCCTAAAACCATATTGTTGGGGTTGGAGGTATTGGTCACTAGCATGGGAGAGGCGTTGTTGGATGAGACGGGCATAACTTTATAAATGGAATTGGTCAGGGATATTTGCCTGCAACTGGGTGGGGCGCGAGAGAAATCGAAAAGTATGTGGAAAATACCTGAGCCTGGAGTGCGGCCAGCTTTAGTATGCCTGAAGGCTCTGTAGAGCTCAAACATGGCAAATGGAGCGTCAAAGGAAAGCTGGTGGGGGGCGAGGAATCCTCAAAGGAAGAGGGGAATGGTTTATCAGTTTATCCTTCCAAACGTTGTCGCAGAGGTGTTGTGCCAGAATGGTTGGTTTTTCTGACTGAAGTGAAGAGAGCCATCGGGCTGTGAGTAGCAGTCGTACCGCACAAGGCGGTGACGGAAGTTTCAAGGATAGGCAACTATAGGGCAGGTGCGTTGTTGTGATGCATGGATGGCAGAGCGAATCCACTGATGGACCGAAAGGTGGTTGGAGCTGTGCTTTTCCAGGGATGGTTGTATGTTTCTATCATTGTATTTTTGCCTGAAGTTTTTAATTTTTGATTTTTAAAGGAGCAGACTACGAAATGCCAAAGGTGCTGAGAGGCATGCATGCGTCTGCTGCGTCTGCATGTCTATCTGTCATTTATTTCAACACTTGAAGGTTTATGCAGATGTTTTTTCGGAGGCCTTGCCGGGTAGATTTTTGTCAGAGTGGTTCAGCGCAACACAGGTCTATCTGTGATTTTATGTCCGATCACGTGTATATATGCATCAAGATGTTTTCCTGGGTTAAAGATCTAGTGCACATTTCCTATCTTCCAGTGAATAAATATCAGATCCGAAAAACCAGCAAAAAACATTAGAGATATTTTCTATCTTCCAGAAACTTACTATAATATACTAAAATTACTGAAAGCTTTGTGATGTTGCAAAATACAGTTTTACCTTTGTCCTTTGACCTTAATTTCGTGCGACGGGGTTGAGCCTGCGACCTCAAACTCGCAATTTAATTTTACCAAAGTTTTTGCCGCTCGACCTTCAGTTCGTGCGCAAGGGTTGCGTCTGAGATTTTGAAATCGCTATTTTACCTCAGCTTTTAAGCTGGGCCCTCATTTCGTGCGAAAGGCGACGCTGAGCCACCAAAAATTCGCATCACACGTTTGTGCGTTCGACACGCACGGGCTTACGCCGGCGAGAGCAAATCTTTAGCTGTCAGAGACAAGCAAATCCCACTCAGGTAACACCCCTCCAAGATCATCCACACTTGCAAAAAAGAACAAACAAGAAAGGTGTTGGACCAGCAGAACAGGGGTGGCAACCAAGGCAGGAAGGATATACCAGAGAAACCGGGCAAAACCTATTCCCACTGTAGCAAACAAAAGAGGAGACAGCTAGACAAACCGAAACAAAACCGTGTATAAAATCCCACCGATGCGCGCGGTTGCAGCTGCTCAATTTACTTGTCATCTGGGTCAGAACTGCTGTCACCGGCTGTGGCGTGAAGCGCGTTTCCAAGTCAAAAGGGCAAAAACATCTCATGCTCGGAGCAATTTTGGACGTCGTTCAAGTGGCATTTTTCGCCGCACGCGCAATGGATTCTGCGCCTTTAGGATCTGCACTACACTGCGCTACTCACTACACTCCATGGCACCCCACTACAACTAATTACAGCTACAGCTACAACTAGAGCTACAACACAACTGCACTACACATGCAACTGCAACTACAACTACAGCTACGTTACACTTAGCCACACCTACACTACACTAAACTGCACTACGCTAGATTGCCGTACACCACACTGCACTACACCAAACTACACGACACTACACTACGCCCTCAACTACAACCTGAACTACAACTACAACTACAACGGCACTACAACGACACCTACAACGGCAACGACAACTACACCACACTACATTACACTAGGCTAGACTGCGCTACAAATACAACTACAGCTACAACTACACTACAACTACTACATGGCTCTAGAGATGGAAAGATAGAAAGAAAGATAGATAGATAGAAAGATCGATAGATAGATAGATAGATAGATAGGTAGGTAGATAGGTAGATAGATAGATAGATAGGTAGGTAGATAGGTAGATAGATAGATAGATAGAGAGATAGACAGATAGACAGACAGATAGACAGACAGACAGGCAGATAGGAGAGATAGGAGAGATAGAGAGAAACAGAGAGAAGGACATAGACAGAGACGGAGACAGAGGGGGAGAGAGAGGGAGAGGGAGAGAGAGAGAGAGAGAGAGGCGCAGAGCCTCAACCACCTTTCGGTCCATCAGTTGGTTCGCTCTGCCATCCATGCATCACAACAATTTGAACCTCCTTTAGGTTTCCAATCTTTGCAACTTCCGCCACCGCCTTGCGCAGTACTACCGGTACAAAGAAGCGCCTACACAGTGCAGCTCTTGCGTGGCAATTTGCGGCTTACTGCTGTAACTGCTGTATCATCCAAACTTGGCAATGCTCGGCAAAAACTATGAGGGCCCTCCGGTTGATGCTTGATGATCGTTCGACGAGCGTCGACGCCCATTGACTTCATGCGCTTTTCCACACCGGCGGGGGTCATGCTGCCCATGAGGAAGCTCCAGGATGCCTGGCACAGCACTGGCGGTTGCCCCAGCTCCACCCCAGGCTTTGCGCTGGTGGACGGGGCCCGGCCTGAACTGCTGCAATCTCTTCAGCTAACATGCCTCGAAGTAATTCACGCGATGAACACAGCAGTGAGGAAGGAAATCATTTGGCATATCTTTGGAATCCCTGCCTTCGTTGGCACGCGAGGCCATATCCTGCACAATCCAGTGGGCATAGTGGCATAGTGGTTTTAGCGGGCTGCAATCTTGGTTTACTGGCAGTTTCCAAGGCCACATCCTCATGGCATGGGATGCCCCTGGTCCTCGCCAAGCATACCAGTTGCACCTCCACCAATCGCAGTGATGTTGCCGCCAATGGATTTGATTAAAGTAGCTGCCTGGACGGGCAGCCCTTGGGACTGTGAACTGATCATCCAGCATGCGTTGGCTTGACCATGGAGCTGAAGCTTTGCTTGCTCAAAAATGCAAATGGGACGGTGGGTATGAATCACATGAATCACATGAGTCAACAGCCAAGTATGGCAGTGAGGAGGTCGCTGGATGTTCATCTCCAAGCCCCGTTTAGTACCAGCTTGGCCAACTGATCCAAAATAAGCAGGTGGATGACACATCGAAGGGGAGGCTTGTAGCAGTATCTGTAAATCCGCAAATCCCTATTGGAAATCGCAAGAATATTTAATGTCAAGATTTAATCACTTCTCCCTATTACTAAATTAAGCCTCTCCTAAACAACAAAAACTACCCCAAATATTCCCCAGATTAATTGTTTGGGGAAATTTCAGATTTGTCAATTTGACTTTTAATTGATCCTATTTTGAAAACAATTTAAAAATCAAGGTCCATTTGAAGGTTCTACCCGCTTAATAATAAAAACTAGTTAGCCCCAGGGTGTTTTTTTGACTAGGGTCTGTTTGTTAAAGTTTCAATTCTTTTTGATTACTCCCTGACAGAAAACATAGACGAAAAAAACATTTTTTAGTTCCGTGTTAATGATACTTTTTTTGAGTCGTGTTCCATGTTAAGGCCAAAACGCACAAAAAATGCTTTCGCAAGCTAACATAGACACATTTGGGGTAAACCTCAAAATCACCCAAAAATAACCCTAAAAAACTTTCATTATTTAACATTGACCGCATGTTAGCCAATCCTGCATTAACATAACCCAATTTCAGGTATTTTTATTTTTTCTGCCATTTTTGAAGGTGAAAATTGGTCCCATAATCTTTAACATGGAAACTGTTATGGAAAAAACATTTTTCCTGCCATCGTCCTTGTTAAAAAAATGTGGTGGTCTGGAGGACATCTTCGAAGGTGAGAATTGGCCCCGCAATCATTAACATAGACGCTGTTATGGAAAAAACATTTTCTCCCGCCATCGTCCATGTTAACAATTATGGCGGGGACCATGTTAGCATATTGTATGCCCCACTTCCATCTTAACAAAAAAACAATTGAAAAATCAATGAACATGATGCGACATTCAGTTCAAAACCGCACAGATGTCAATAAAAAAACAGAAAAACATATCAAAACCAGAACAAATAAATGAAAAATAATCAAAACACAACAATTGAAAACATGAATGAACATTATCAAAACATGTAAAGCGCATTGAACAAATCAATGGAAGATGATGAAACGCGAGTAAAAACCGATCAAACATAAATGAAACATGATGAAAAACAAATAAGTAATCTTGACAGTCCATGGAACATACATTCATCAAGCGCTCAAACAGTAGAGGGCGGACAGCACAATTCACCACAGAAACCTTAACATGGAACAGAAAACTTTCCTTTGGGATAATTGTGTGTATTCTCCTAATTACCTCTCTTGGCACCAAACACGCCAGGAACGTCAACATGGAACAAAGCAAAAAAACAGTTTTTTTGGGGTGAATAGCTTGTATCCCCCTACCTTTCTTGGCACCAGCAAACCCAGAAACGTTAACATGGAACAAAGCCGAAAAAAAAGAGTACTTTTCTTGGCACCAGCCATCCCAGAAGACATGGACCCTTGCACTAGCGGCCCTAGATACAAGCTATTCACCAAAAAAAACTGTTTTTTGCTTTGTTCCATGTTGACGTTAGTGCCAAGAAAAGTAAGTAGGAGGATACGCACAATTATCCCAATTTTTTCCATGTTAAGGTCTCTGTGGTGAATTGTGTTGTCCGCCCTCTACTGTTTGAGGGCTTGATGAATGAATGTTCCCTGGAAGCAAGATCGGCTTCTGGGAGGGGGCAGTTTTTTCCTGGCCAAAATGTTACACATGAGTACTTTTAAGAACAGGAAACATCACACAAACATTTTGGAATTTGGGCGGGATCTCATTTTGGGGGCCCTTGAAAAGGTTAACATGGACCAGGGAAAGGCTTTGCGGAAGCGGACAAGTGCATGACCTTAGCCAGAAACAAATAAGCAGGTAATTTCCAGTGTTCACCATTTCACATTGATAGTTAACATGGACAAATGGGGTAGACACATGCCTCCAAAAAAACATCGGCCAATGATTTTGGGAACCCGTTTTCGCCTTCAAAATGACCAAAAAAAGTGTGTCCCCAATATTCTTCGACATTTTCTTGGGCGTTGATTTCTTGACAAGTGAAGCTCGGGTCCATGTTAATCCAAAAGCAGACGCATTCCGACAAAAAATGCTATGGACCACCTGGACAATAAGCAAAATTAAGACCTTTATTGGCCTCCTTTGGCCCACAAAAACATGGTTTCCGTTCCATACTGACATCTCTGGGGTGGCTAGCGCAAGGGTCCATGTCTTCTGGGATGGCTGGTCCCAAGAAAAGTACTCTAGTTTTTTTTATATGCTTTGTTCCATGTTAACGTTTCTGGGTTTGCTGGTGCCAAGCGGGGGTTATCATACACGCTATTCACCCAAAAACCGGTTTGCTTTGTTCCATGTTGACGTTCCTGGGGTGTTTGGTGCCAAGAAAAGCAATTAGGAGGATACAATTATCCCAAAAGAAAGTTTTTTGTTCCATGTTAGGGTTTCTGTGGTGAATTGTGCTGTCCGCCCTCTACGTTTTGAGGGCTTGATGAATGTATGTTCCATGGAATCAAGACCCACGCTTTCTGGTGGGGGCAGTTTTTTCCTTGCCAAAATGTTACAAATGATCACTTTTAAGAACAGTCTTTAACAAGAAAATCACAATCATTTTGGAATGTGGGCGGGATCTCATTTTCGGGCCAGAAGACATGGACCCTTGCGCTAGCCACCCCAGAGATGTCAGTATGGAACGAAAACCATGTTTTTGTGGACCAAAGGAGGCAAAACAAAGGTCTTAATTTTGCTTATTGTCCAGGTGGTCCATAGCATTTTTTGTCGGAATGCGTCTGCTTTTGGATTAACATGGGCCCGAGCTTCACTTGTCAAGAAATCAACGCCCAAGAAAATGTCGAAGAATATTGGGGACACACTTTTTTTGGTCATTTTGAAGGCGAAAACGGGCTCCCAAAATCATTGGCCGATGTTTTTTTGGAGGCATGTGTTTACCCCATTTGTCCATGTTAGCTATCAATGTGAATGTTTAATACTGGAAAGGACCTGCTTGTTTGTTTTTGGCTAAGGTCATGCAATTGCCCGCTCCCGCAAAACCTTCCCCTGGTCCATGTTAACCTTTTCAAGGGCCCCCAAAATGAGATCCCGCCCAAATTCCAAAATGATTGTGTGATTTTTCTTGTTGAAGACTGTTCTTAAAAATACTCATTTGTAACATTTTGGCCAGGAAAAAACTGCCTCCCTCCCAGAAAGCGTGAATCTTGCTTCCAGGGAACATACATTCATCAAGCCCTCAAACAGTAGAGGGCGGACAACACAATTCACCACAGAAACCTTAACATGGAAAAAATTGGGATAATTGTGCGTATCCTCCTATTTACTTTTCTTGGCACCAAACACCCCAGGAACGTCAACATGGAACAAAGCAACATGGAACAAAGCAAAAACATTTTTTTTGGGTGAGTAGCGCGTATCCCCCCTACCTTTCAACTTTGATTACCTTTCAACATGGAACATCCACAAGAAGAGAGACAGGACCCCCAGGAGTTCCATGCTAAACTATCGTTTCATCCTACCCCAGGGCCCCAGGAGTCCCAGTCAATATTTTTTAACATGGACCATTTACAAGGTCTGACACAAGACCCCCCTCGGAATTCCATGTTAAACCATCGTGTGGTACCACCCGGCAATCACTAACATGGACTACTTGTTGATGGTTAGGAAATTAACATGGAAGGATTTAGGGGGGCAGCCAACATAGGTCGGGGTCATTTTCGGAGGTGGAAATGGCAAAAATTGTTCCAAGCAAAATTTGTTTTTATTCCATGTTAACCATCCTGGGGCCATTTTGGTACCATTTTCGTGTTCCATGTAATTCTTCGGAAAAACTCAGTTTTTGGTCTATGTTATTCTGAAGGGGTGTATAAAAAATTTAAAATTTAAAACTTGATATTAGGGGAGAGCATCGAAATCCAATTTTTGGCAAAATTTCAATTAGATTTAAAAAGGAATTTACTCGATTTTAAAATCGTAAATTTTAGTTTTTTTTACTTAAGGTTTGAAATTTAATATTAGGGGAAAGCTCGAAATCCAATTTTTGGCAATATCTTAATTGAATTTTGAAAGGGAATGTGTATGTAATTGATTTTGAAATATATGTTTCTATTTTTAAATTTAATATTAAGGGAAACCTCGAAATCCAATGTTTGGCAATATCTCACTTAATTTGAAAAGGGAATGTAATTGATTTTGAAATCTATTTTTTTACCTTCTTTAATTTAATATTAGGGGAAAACTCGAAATCCAATTTGTGGCAATATCTTATTTAATTTGAAAAGGGAATGTAATTGATTTTGAAATCTATTTTTTACCTTTGGAAATTTAACATTAGGGGAAAGATCGAAATCCAATTTTTGGCAATATCTTACTTGAATTTTGAAAGGGAATGTAATTAGTTTTTGAAAGCTCGACATCCAATTTTTGGCAATATATTAACTACGTAGATATAAAAAGGAATTTATATATATATATACTTGATTTTGAAATCGAACATTTTCAGTTGTTAATTAAAGATCCTTATGGTCGTTTGGGGGGTAACTCAAGTGACCCCATTTTCTAGATAGAAAAATTCTGACCCAATTAAAAGCCTAGAAAATGAAAAAACAAGTAACATTTGATGTTTTTTGCATTGGGCTCATCATTTTCTAGATGGATGCATGGATGTTTTGGACATGCATTTTTTAAAACAAACATGTTCATGAGAGTGCAAGTCACGACTTTGGGTCTAGAAAATGATCTGTAATGCCATCATAAGAATAACAAAAAACCTAAAACACATTGAATGTTGTTTCAAAAAACATGGAG